CTCGAGGCCCTGCCCCCGCGGTTCTGGCTCCCGCGGCTCGAGTCACCGCCGCGAACAAGGGTGGGTTAATGCCGTTCCCTCCCCCCAGTGCCTTTTTTTCCGCGGAGCTTTCGGCCCAGATCTAGTCCCGTAAGTCTTCGCGCACACATTCCTCGCAGAGCTGTGTAGCTTAGGGACGTGACAGCTCTGCCTACATCTTACGTCCAGAGCAATTAACCAGGAATGTCTGTGTCTCTCTCAGTGGAATCACCAGAATTCTTCATAGGGGTTAAGCTAAAAAGCGAGGAGAGGAGCCCCTCTCCAATAGCTCAGTTTCGCTGAATAATCACGTGTGAATCGAGGGGCGGGCTTTTGGCAGGCAGATCTTACTAGTATTTACTACCAAGCTCTACTCCAGATTAACCATCCCAGTCCTTCTGTCAGTCTCCGATGCCATCATGCAGCCTGGTTAGGAGCAAAGGAGAGGGGAAAAAGAAAAACAACTAATTCATCTTTTCCCGATCGTCAGGACCCTAAAGAATGGCCGAGCCTTGGGGGAACGAGTTGGCGTCCGCAGCTGCCAGGGGGGACCTAGAGCAACTTACTAGTTTGTTGCAAAATAATGTAAACGTCAATGCACAAAATGGATTTGGAAGGACTGCGCTGCAGGTTGGTATTCAGAGAGGTGGGGAAAACAGGTCAATAATCTTGCCTACGTGACCCGGGTTTCTAGAATGACAGCTTTAAAGTTTTCAGGGGTACAGAATTTCACTGTTTTTAAACCTAGTTGGTTGCCATATTTTATATCTTTAAGTGGATCCAACTCTCCAAATGACGTACTTTGAACAAACTCGTCAAATCCAGTAACATCCTCGATATCAAGTGAGTTCCAGGTTTGGTCTTAATTTTTGGAATGTTTTTGTGACGGTGGAGATTTTAAAGTAGTCATAGTAGCGCCGAGGTTTGTTTGTTTTGCTTTGTTTTTTAAGATAGCTCTGTAAACACATTATTATGATTATTATTTGAAGTAAATACACTGCTATTAGTGGTTTCACGTACTTTGCCCCCCAATAATTGACTCTAACATTAATTTTCTTGACTACTGGCAGGAGTGTTTTTCCTTCAAATGCTTCAAGTTTTGACAAACGACCTTTCCTCGTTTGGAATGGATGGCTTGGGCACCGGGACAGGATGTACATTTCACAGTTAATGTAATACCATACACTCCTTCGGGAGTGGGGAGGAATAAAAAGTTGAATTTTCTAATCAGAGCTCAGCTGCAGTGTTTTTGTCTCTGCAGTTATGCCGTGGTATGCTCTAATTTTCAGTAATTAGATTTACAGGCAGCAATTGACATGTCCAGCTGCCAAGTATTGTACCTGATAATTTTTTTTCTCCTCTGAACATTATCATGTAACTTAGTTGAAAGGCTTAGAAACAGAGAAATGGCAAAATAGTCTCAAATAAGTTGCTTTATCAGAGTTCTGATGATACTCTTATGAGCTATTCTTATTTGGAAATGCAACATTTAAAGCTATTTTTGAAAACCCAGTGGGGAGAGGGCTTTTAGAGGACTTTGTTTCGGTTATAAGAGTTAGAAATTTAAGTGGCAGGAGAGATACTATTACAGTCGAAGTCCATACAGTTTGTACATTTAAAATCAGAATGCACTGGTCTTGCAAAAATTAAAGTATTAAGGAAGTTTATGAATAATACTAAAATATTTCTCTTGTTATTTCAGAAAGATTAGGTAGGGAAAGGATTTTTTTTTATTTTTCCACCTAGTAGTTTTGAATAAGTTTGGTGATGATCACAATGCCCACAAATTTAATATATTAAAAAGTTTCCTACTGAAAACTCAAAAAATTATATAAACCTCACAGAGAATGAGCTACTTACCCCATGTTCAGAAAAAGATCTTACAGGACCTTGACGAACAGGAAGACTGGGAGATTAATACTATTAAAAAAAAGTTTTGACAAACATTTTTAATACAACTGTGCTATCTTGTTTATATCAAACATACTTCTCAAGGTACTACACCCACTTATTGTGGCTTAGTCCTAGTACATATAATGAAACACACACACACACAAACAGTAGTTTCAAGGCTTGTTTTCAGTATGCATAATCCTGACTCTGAAGTTGTGTCATAACTCAAGAAAGAACTTTCTTCAAAACCATTTCCAATATTACTATTATTTTCTGTGAAAGAAGGCAAATTTTCTTCTACAATTATGTTTATTGAACTCAATCGCAAAAGCTTTTCCCCCCCTTCCTAGTGAACGTTTTTCTATCAGGATAATATTAAAGGCCTTAATTGTACATTTGCTTTACAACGATCCAAGGTGTCTGTCTCTTATTTTTCTCATGCTAGGTTTTTAAATGTGACTAAATCTTTAGAGACAGTTGTGGTAAAATTAGGTTGTATCAATTTTTAATAACCAAAAGTTATTTCATTGACGTTATTAAAATAAATCATATGGTTTTTTTTTTTAATCACTGCCCCCAAAGGAAAGGGTAAAAGTCAACAGAGTTTTATCAACCGGGAAGCTTAATATCTTGGCCATCTATATAGTTTGCATTTATAAAACATTATTTATTCTAAATAAATTTAATTATGTTACTTAATTTGTGGTTATTTTTTAAACAAACATCTTAAAGAGATAGATCAACTTTGTATTTTCCATTGTCATTTAATTTTATAAACACTGCCTATTATGCAAGCTCTTTATTGTAAATTTAGATTATATGAATATACCTAAATATAAATGAAACCAGTTAAAATCCTGAAAATTTCTGGCATGTTAATGAGAGCAATATTTTTCACAACCGAAGTACATACTTTTTATACTTGCATTCTATTCTACAAGATATTTATAATTATGAAAGACTAATAGAGAATTCTTATTAGAGTAAAATATATTCAAACAACAACAGATAAGTCTTTGTGATGTGAATTATTTGTATGTTGATAGCAAATGTTAATACCACAGTCTATCCTTTAAAATGATGGCAGTTTACAAATAGCTATTTCTAAATGCTTGGTAATAACTGCAAAAGGAAATAAGACAGTATCGTCAGTTGATTATTAAGTGGGCTCGAACCACAAGACAAGGCTCACCATGTCCCAAAACACTCTAAATATCTTATTTTTTCTTCTTTTGCTCATTTGAAAATCAGGAGGCTAGTCAGAACTTTGAGAAACAGTCAGTAATGTAGTAGGATGACTATTTCATTCTTTTCAAGACCAGTTGCCATACAATCATTTCCCACCTAATACAGAATATATGAGGAACTGAGTTTTACATAAATTGATATTATAAGCAACGTAGAACACTGTTGCTTATTTAACACCTCAATAATCAATAATATTTTGTAATTCGAAATAAAGGATTCTAAGCAATGAATATACCTAGTAGCCAATGTTAAATAGCTTGCAAAGAAAAAAATATATTTTTAAATGCTTAGAAATGTGGGGCTATATCTATTTGGAAGGAACTTGTAAAAATTGATTGTTTTTAAAAAATCAGGTCTGGATTTTAATAGATAATTTTTACACTAGGCAATGGAGAGAAATTAGGTGAGTTTAAAGAAACTCACTATCCTTGTTTTCAGTAGCTATTTAGAAAACAAATTTTAACCACATTTGATTTTCTAAATTAATACCCAGGCACATTTTATGAGCATGAACAAGCAAATAGAAAGAGACTCTTATTTTAATTCCAAATTCCATTTTTTAAAATTTTAATACATGAAATCACACAACTCTTCATGGGAGATAGAGACCTGGGTTGTCAGTAAATTTTATACAAGTTGCCACAAGTTCTATTTTATTGATCAGTGTATCCTACTTTGGGGCCCATTTAACATATTGCATCATAGAAGCTTAATTTTTAGAAGTTTTCTTCCACTTTTCATCTACTAGCATTTTTCTGCAACCGAGCTCTTCAAACCTCATCCTATGAGTCTTTCCCCAATCACTCCAAAAGTAGTTACCTAAATAGGACAGATTGATATTTTAAAATATTTCTGAAGCATAAGCACTTGAAGGATTCTAACATTTTCACTTCTTTTCTAGGTTATGAAACTTGGAAATCCGGAGATTGCCAGGAGACTACTACTTAGAGGTGCTAATCCCGACTTGAAAGACCGAACTGGTTTTGCTGTCATTCACGATGCAGCCAGAGCAGGTTTCCTGGACACTCTACAGACTCTGCTGGAGTTTCAAGCTGATGTTAACATCGAGGATAATGAAGGGAACCTGCCCTTGCACTTGGCTGCCAAAGAAGGCCACCTCCCGGTGGTGGAGTTCCTGGTGAAGCACACGGCCAGCAATGTGGGGCATCGGAACCATAAAGGGGACACCGCCTGCGATTTGGCCAGGCTCTATGGGAGGAATGAGGTTGTTAGCCTAATGCAGGCAAACGGGGCGGGGGGAGCTGCTAATCTGCAGTGAATGGGGGAGGGCTTTCCCACATTGCCTCTACTTTGTCAGTTAATTGGGTGGTTGTCCCGACAATTTTAATATCGTTTGTTAAAATACAGTTTTGTCATATTTTAAGCAGCTAGTTAAATCTTCTGAAACTGCATAAATGGAAATCTTACAAGTTTATGAATATATTTAAGCAACATCTTTTCACCGCAAAATACTGAGTTCTAACTTGTAATTGCAAATAGCTTTGGCTTTCTTCAGAATGTTTTGTCTTTCCTTGACTTTTTCATTGCTTTCCCCTTTGCCAATCTGAATACTCAACCTGGAAACTTTGTTTTTAAAATGGTTGTCCTGATGCTTCTTTTGCCTAATTAAAATACTTTTTCAAAACAGGACAACGTTTTTCTGATTTTCCCTCCTATGTAACCCACACATAATTTGCCATTTGCTAGGGAGAACTGAACTAAAAGTTCATTGATGTTTTAAGTCTTGATATTAGAAAACTAGAGATATTCTATTGATGATTCCGTTATTCTTTTCTTCCCTGCTCCCCCCACAAAGATTTTACTTAGTACCTGGTGTTTCTGCTTTAAAACAGAATAAGAACAACTTTTTTTTGAAGATCAAACCCGAAATTATCTCAGTGTGAATTTCTCTAATGTTCAATTTTCCCTTCTTTGTCTCAAAGTTAAAAGTCAAATTGTTGGACAGGTTTCAGAAGTAGCAATCTGAAAGCATATATGTTAGCTCTAAAAGCCAGTTTTAAAAGAAAATGCCACCGTAAAAGTTATTTCCATTAACTGATTTTTTAAATCACTAAATGAAACAATTGGTTAAATAATACCTTTCCCAAATTATATCATAAGTATACTAAGTGCAACACTGACTTTTTCTCCCTGAATGTCAGAAATGTAAAATTACAAAACATTTAAGTATTAAAATACAAATACAAGTTTTTAGGGATAAAAAGTACAGCAAGAAAAATGTATAAATTACATATAAAGTTTATAACTATTTAAAGTTTGTAAATAATACATGTAGAAGCCTGCAATAATAACTAAGCTGCTACCACATGTGGTACTTAATTTCCACAAAACTTTTTAGTAAAGGAAAATAAAATCCTTTTAGGAACATATTTAGCTAAAAAAATTTTTTTTTTAATTTTTTTTGGAAGGAAGTGAAACTATCAAATTTCCAAGAGGATTTTCCAGCATCTATTACTGACTCTGTCATTTTAATTTTGAAATTTCAACAAGGGCTTGAAATGCAGTTACCATTTATAAATTTATAAATACTTTATTAATCATCTCCCACATGATCAAAACGTTTTATGTGAAAGTTCCCTCCAGTTTCGTAAACTTTCTGCCCTCCCTCCAAAAGGGACAAAAAACTTCAAGGTTTATTGAAGGACATGGTTCTGATGCCTGCCCTAACAAGGACTGGAATGACTAGGGGTTGTAGACAAGTGGTTTTCAATCATTTATTTTTCATGATAGTGTTAAAAAAGGAGAAAATGTTTGATGTTTTCTATTTTGCACTAAAATTCACACTTCTTAGGGCAAAAAGACTTCGACTACCACCTTTAGCCACAAGTTACTAAATAAATTTATTTTTTATGGCAACATAAAATTAAACTTAAGACTTTTTTAAAGAAATGGAAGAAAAAGTGTTGTATTTTGGATTTAAAGAGTCAATATACAAAATATACTACCTTAGCTGAATATTTTTTAAACATAACACTATTACTGGAATAAAAACAATTCTTACAAGTTGCAGCTGTAAGGATGGACGTCTCTTAGTTTAAAGTTCACTTTAATGGATTTTACAGTATCTGTCATGTCTCAGCATTTATTTCATAAGGTAAAATTTCCCTCTAGAGATTTCAAATATAAAGGCATAGAACGTTCATAAAGCAAAAGAGAAGTACTTCTGCAGTTGCTTTGTTCTCGGGTGGTCAGAACACAATGGGGGAGAGGAAGCTCTATCTTTTCATCAGCCTAAAATTTGCTAGGCATTAAAACATCGCCACATTACTCTGGCTCGTCTCAGGAAGTAGCTTTGCTAATCTAAGTATTTTAGAAATGAGTTTTGTGGTCCCCTCTAGGAAATACGAAAAGCCATTATTCAATCTCTCAAAAACCTCGACGATATTAAGACTCTTGAATATGCCGAAATGTATAGGATGGAAAGAAATGGGGCTGTTGAGTTTAATGGTGTCCAGTTTGCAGCGAGCTGAGGTGGGGAGGGCTGTGAACTTATTCAGATGCAGAGAGTGGGGATGCAAGTGCTAATTAATAGAGTGCCCAGGGCCCCAGGGAACGACGCTATAGAAAGGATGGAGGATACAAAGCGAAGATGCGCTCTCAATTTCAGTTCTTCACTGCGACCGCATTCATTTCGGAAAACCCAGGTTCAGCCTTTGCCCAGTAAGCCGAACCCAGGCTTACACCCAGGGTCGGGACACTAACATGACCTCAATCCACAGTCTAGTTCCCGAACCACTAAACAAAGTGCCTTTTATCATATTTGGGTAGTGAATTTAAACATGATGCACCTCGCAATGGTGTGGTGAGTTCATGTGCACACACCACGATGGGTGATTGACTGATAAAGGATTCTGTCCTGGGAAAGCAATTCGCTTGGTTAATATGATAAATTTCCTCTATAGTATTGATCAAACGAACGTTGTGAAATCCGTGGCCCCGGACGGGTTTCAAAATCTCACTGCCCAAAAAGGTGCTCTCGGTTTTTACCGGGGATGGAAGTCCACAGCCCCGCAGCGCCGGGAGATCACAGTGCGGGAGCGAGAAGGGGTCGTGCTCGCAGGGGTCCACGCTGCCCTGAGCAACCTTCATTCAAAAGGCGACGGGGGGAAGGTCTTGGTCCCCGGAGACTGTTTTGCCCCGAGAACAGATCCACGCAGGAACCTAGTGAGAGGCAGGCGGCAAACTTCCCGCCTGAGACCCGGGGTGAAGCTCTGCCCATCCCAACTCAAGCCCCCCGCGGAGAGGCTGAGAAGACATCCCTGCCGTCCCTTTGAAATGTTTCTTCCAGACGCCAACCCGGTCCCTGAGCCCTAGTGAAAAAGCTGGAGCCCGGAGCTCCCTCGGGGCGCGCCTGGGGTGGGGGTGGGGGAGCTTCAAAACCGTTAGCTCGCGTTTTTTTTTTTTTTTTTTTTTTTTCCTCCCTCGCTAAGGTTTCTTTTCTTTTCTCTTCCTGTCCAAATATTTCAAATTTCCGCGCCTTAAATAACAGTCTCCTTTTATTTAGTTAGTTTCCTCGGCAGGTTTGGCCGCCCGCTC